CGAACGCGTAAAAATATTCGATAACAATTTTATTAATCGACGGAAGTAAATAAAAGGAATTGAACTAATGAACTCTAAAAGAATGTAAATGTCAATGAACAAACTGGAATACAGGAATTAGAACTCTTCTTGTTGGGTCTTCAACTTGGAATATGTTTCTTGGCGTTTTAATCGTACGACTTCGACGTGTGTATCCGATGGTGATGTCGATACAACTCCAATAAATAAAAGAAAATGAATCACAAAAATCGGAGCCTATGGAAATTCCAAGCTGCGTGTGAAACTATACCAATGAGTATAGAATCCAGCAAAGAACCCTAGGTCCACAAATAGCACAAGAAACAAAACAACGAGGCGGATTCGTTTTCACAGAACCCAAGGCCTGTTTTCACTGGGCCTGTCTGTCAGTCGGTCGGCTTTCGCACAACCTTGGCCTGTTTTCACTGGGCCGTCAAGTCTGATCGGCTTTCGCACGATCAAGGGCCTGTTTTCACTGGGCCTGTCTGTCAGTCGGTCGGCTTTCGCACAACCCTGGCCTGTTTTCACTGGGCCGTCAAGTCTGATCGGCTTTCGCACGATCAAGGGCCTGTTTTCACTGGGCCTGTCTGTCAGTCGGTCGGCTTTCGCACAACCCTGGCCTGTTTTCACTGGGCCGTCAAGTCTGATCGGCTTTCGCACGACCAAGGGCCTGTTTTCACTGGGCCTGTCTGTCAGTCGGTCGGCTTTCGCACAACCCTGGCCTGTTTTCACTGGGCCGTCAAGTCTGATCGGCTTTCGCACGACCAACACAAGACAACAAGAGTCAGAACAACACTGGTAACAAATTGTGTTTCTTCAGTACGCGTGCGAAACTATGCCAATGAGCATAGAGTCTCGTACTGAATCCACTTTTGAGAACTTAAGGCGTTTCTGAAACTATGCCAATGAGCATAGAATCACGCGTTAAGTCTCTTAGATACCAGAACAGGCACTGATTACTCGAAGCTGCCTAACTGGTGAACCCAAGGCTGACTCTTTGAGAACTTAAGACGTTTCTGAAACTATGCCAATGAGCATAGAATCACGCGTTAAGTCTCTTAGGGACCAGAAGAGGCACTGATTATTCGAAGCTGCCTCACTAGTCAACCCAGTCCTCTAACTGGTGAACCCAGTTTCTCTCTCTTAAGTCTTTTCACACCCTTCCTTATCAAAACAAAATTAGATTTTGTTTCGGGTGTTTTAAAACATAAAAATCTACAAGGCATGTCCAATTAATCAGAAAAAGTATTAATTAAATTTTAAAATAATTTATAATAATTTATGACGTCATCTAAATTGCAAAACAAAAAAAAAAATACGTTGTCACCTATCGAGTAAATTAACTTGCACCATGCCCCCTATCGAGTGAATAAATTTCGCGTTGAAAATTTTGCAGTATTTTTTAGTCAGCATTATTTCATAATTCTGACAATATGCATGCATACATCAACACTATACTATAAATAACAGAACAAGTTTGAAAGCATTCTTTGGCCTGTGTTGGATTCAAAAAATGAGATCATTCAAAAGGTCAGCATGCAATATTAATTCTTCTTTCTTAATATTTTATATTTATTAATTTTATATAATAATATTATTTAAAAAAATATGGATATTATTTTCTCATTTTAAAGAGTAAATTTATTTTTTATTCAATTTTTAATCAGCTGACAGTAAGTTGTATAACTCATTTGGCTGCCATTGGTGGGGGTGGAGCTAATGGGCAATTGTTCCAGGAGGCGTGGCTACACCTCATTAATAATTCATTATTGCATGCTAATGAGCTAGTTGATATGTTGGCTAAAGTGATTTTAAATAAAGAATCAAGTAAGAAATATTTATTTTTTGTTGTTTCATTTTTTTTGACGAGTTTACTTGTCAAATGTATTAACTTATTTTGAATTTTAAAGTGGCCAATCTCAGTAAAGACAAAGCCGAAACCACGCGTATATCATTTTATTTCGACCAATCAAAATCAGAGGATGTGAACTACTTGACCAATAGGCTGAAGGGATTGACTAATGTTGTTTGCAATTTGATGGGGTTAGGTTGTTGCACTATGAGAGATAAAATATAATTTATTATAAAGATAATAATAATAATAATAGTTATAATAAAAATAATTATTTCTATAATTGTTATATTAATTTTGTTTATTATTACAATTTTTCAGTCATAATTTTCCTACCGTTGTGTCTCTGCCCGTAAAAAACATTGTAAACTTGATAACGAAAATTCTAGATTGTCGTCTTGTAAGTTTGAAAAAGCTTTCTGAGGGTTATGCTCATGATGATGATTGTGATGATGATGATGGTGATTGTGATGATGATGATTGTGATAATGATGATGATTGTGATGGCTATTATTAATTATATCTTTTATTTAAATTTACTTTTTAACAGATCTCGGTTGGTAAAGACAGACAAATCTTTTACAATCAGCTCATTAATATTCATATTTTAGCCTTCAGACTTCTTCAATCATTGATTCTATGGTAATTAATTTTAATTTATTCAAGCTAATTAATATTCATTAGCTGATTAGCGTCTGAGTTGTTCGAGTTAATTAGTTTTAATTAGTTAATTTTAATAATGACGGAATGAATAATAAAAATATAATACTGAAAAAAGATTAACGAATGAATGAACAAGTGAATAAATTAATAAATAAATGATGGATGGATTGATTGGTTGATTGATTGATTGCATGAATCAGTATCAAACGTTTCATCGGCTTCTGAAAAATTACGTCCAAACACAACCTCATGTAAACCTCTGTGTACCTTTAATATTTACACACACACACACATTAAGAATTCAACAACCAATCAGAAGAGAGAATATAAATTGACCTATATGCAAAATTAATTACGTCTTAATTGCTATTAATAATTACTTAATTGTCTAATGAAATTCAACTAATTAATATTTTAAATCATTTTCAGCTCCAGGCAAACCTCATTCATACATTCGGACGTTATATACGACTGTATGGCACAGTCTTTGCAGGACTGCAATAATAATAATAATAACAACAACAACAATAATAATACGAATAATAAGAATTATAATAAGAACAATAATAATAATAAAATCAGCAACAGTAATAATAATAATAAAGCCAAGATTGAAGATGCTAATGGCAATGTTTATTTGATATAGTTGGTTTTTTTAATTACTCATTCCTCTAATCTATTAATCTATCTTTTGTTTATTTATTCATTCATTCGTTCGTTCATTCATTCTTTTCTCGCTCACTCATTCAGTACCTTATGAACAGATGCATACGCCACCTACTCAGTGACATTTTTTTCATTAATTCATTCGTTTCTTCAATATTCTTTCTATCCATCTATCTTTCATTCATTCCTTTTTTCATTCATTCTTATTTTTATTCATTCTTTTTTTCATTCATTCCTTTATTTATTCATTCATTCATCCAGTATCTTAAGAACTGAGATATACACTTGCATGAAGCACTGCCTCCTGTATGATATCCTACCGTCGTCTTTAACGACCTTGAAACTAATCGTGGAAGCGGCCATCTTGGACTTTACCCCTTCCAAATCTGCCCTCAATTACGTCAACAATCATCTCTGCGCTGCTGGTTCTGGCATGTCTAGCTCTAACAAGCAAGTCAGATTTACTGCTGTGATTGTTGTTTGTTGTTGTTGTTTTTTGATATTGTTATTAATATTTTTTACTATTATTATTATTTTTAATTGTGGTTATAATTGTTAATATTATTATTTATATTATATAATATTCATCATCGTCATCATTGTTCATTGGCCGCAGCTATTAACAACTCTTAGCAACAACTTGCCGAATTCTAAAAAGCGAAAGAAGCATGGAAGAGTAACGGAACTAGTGGAAATCCCGGAAGTACCTATAAATGGCAATGACGTGACGCCGACCAATGAGCAGTCAGTAATGTGTATTACAGCCCTAGAAGGTATGTGATTGGTTGAAGTGTTAAAATTCTTTAATTCTATAAATAATAATTGATCTACCAACGAAACTTGATCAAATTTTGGTTGGTTTCAATAAAATTTATTATTATAAATTATTATTATTAATTATTATAATTACATTTGAATTTGTAGCCCTGCAGTTACTAATGACCTCTGACCTCACCTCAGTGGTGATGATGACCTCTAGTGAGAGTTCATCATCTTCATGTAAGAGTAGGAGTTTAGAAAGGCTGCTGATTGTTAGTTTAGCCTTCGTTATACAAGATTATTGACATCTTACTATGTTAACAAAAAAATTTTGGAAATTTTTTAGCCAGTTTGGAGGTCGGCTATAACAATAATTACACAGATACAACAATATCAGCAGCATCACCTCTATCACATCAACAACAACAACAGCAAGAGGCTGACAACGATTTTGGAAATTCCCAGTTTCAAATTGTCCATTTATAGGCTGCTGTCCGCCATGATGACCAAAGATATTTTTAGATACTCGCATTTGTTCTTAAATGCGGTCGGGATTTTTCAGAAAGCTCTTTCCGTCGATTCCGACATCAAAGTTAGTCGATTGTTTTTGGTGGATTGATTGATTGATTGGCTGGTTGGTTGAACGATCCATCGATTGATTGATTGATTGATCAATAAATTTTCATTTTTTCCAGGTAATAGAGCAATCAAAGTTAACCCTCTCTTGGTTAAAATCAATAAACTATTCATTCACATCATCGTCCCATCCACCTCTGCCCTCATCATCAACGTCATCAGCGTTCTCTTTGACGTCATCAGCGTTCGCTACTACGTCGTCAATGGATTTTAACCAATGGCAGCGGGAAGTGGAAGATGATTTACCTCACAGTGCTGTGAAAATTTCCAAGAGAAATCTAAATCCCGTGGAAGCTACTGCTACTACTACAACTACAGCTACAACTACTACTGCTACAACTACTACAGCTGCTACTACTGCTAGTAGTAATAATAATAATATCGATAATAATAATAATAGGAATAGTAATAATATCATGGAAGCATCGTTTTACGTTATTGACGAGCTAGTATGCAACAATGATGGTAATAAGGACGAATGCTTCGACGTTAACGACTGTGGCCATAACAGTGGCGACAACATTATCAGTGGCGATGATTATGGCGCCGAAATTGATGGTGGTGATGATAATAATAATAACAATAATAATAATGATAATAATACAATTGGTGGTGACGATGATGATAAAGGTCTTGTCGAAGAAAGTAAAAATAATAATGATGATGATGGTGATAATATTAATAATGACGTCACTGATGGTGGTGATGATGACGGTAGGAATATGGTATTGCCTGATTGTGATGATAATAATGGTAATGATAATAATAATGATAATGATGATAATAAGAAAGTTGCTGAAATGGCCGAGACGGATAGCTCACATTTGGTTTGATAAATTGACCACAATTTTTTCATTTTTTGCGTGATTTGATTTATTTATTGATTATTTGTATTTATCTATTGATGTATAAATTTTAAAGTTTCAATATCCGTTATAATTAATTAATTGATTAATTAATTAATCAACTAATTGGTTAATTAATTGAGATTAATTATTTTTCAAATTTCAGTCCCTCGAACTGATGTTGGTTTTGGATTCATTTCACGACGTAGACGCTGAGGCAGCCGATAAAGAATCATTCAACCAATCATTAAATTAATATAAATGTTATTAGTTAGTTAGTTAATTAATTAATTAATTAATTGATTGAGATTTGTTATCTAATTCGGTGATTCTCAAAGATATTAAAGTCTGGACTATTTAGTTGTTGGATACTGTTAACATTTTTTTTCAACGCCTTACGATTTTACGAGTAAATAAACGTCACAATTAACTTCAAAAACATTCGGATTATTTTTTAAAATCTCACAATTTTCAAATTTTTCCACCGAGACGACTTTCTGAAAACCGTGCAAGACGTTTTCTTCTTGTAAGAAGAAGAAAAAGAAGGCAAATATGTCGTACGCTAAAGTTGTTAATAATATGGTTAGTTGGTCATTATATCTTTATAAAATTTTCTTCTCGGATTATCATTCTAGTAAAAAGTAAACTATAATGAATAAATGGATCTAGTTGATGATGAATAAATTTCAAAATCATTTCGAATTAAAGATGGAACTGGAGAGCACCATTAGGAACGCTAGCAATAAGACTATTATTATCGATTTCTGTGCAGAGTGGTGCGTTCCCTGCAAAGCTTTGTCACCCAAACTAAAGGTAGTAAGAAAAGAACTGCCTGTCTGTGTGTGTGTGTGTCATTGAAATGAGTAAACTGACGATGTTTTGACGTACGCCATTTGTGATAATTACAATTTTATTCAGTAAAAATTTATTTGCTAATAAAAATTGTAGTCCCTCTCTAAATTGAAATGAACACACACGCAGGACTTCGCGAAATCATGCCCCAACATAATACTGGTCAAAGTTGACGTTGACGACGCCGAGGTCTGTATTCGTCTTCGTCATCTTAATTTCAATATTTTCACATTTAGGACCTTGTTAGAACTTACTAAACGTCGTTTATATACATACATATTAGTCTATGACAGAGTGAGTTAAAGTTTAAAATTTCTCAATGGTGATTCATTTCAGGACGTGGCCGACAAGTATGGCGTAACCGTTTTGCCGACTTTTGTCGTCATTCGAAATGGATGCATGGTTAGGAAAGTTTCGTTTCCAAAAACATCACCCAAATTTTTGCATAAACCTTAATTCTGTTCAAATTTAACCTTGAAAATTAGTAAATTTACTAATTTTAGTAATTGATTAGATTTTGAATATTCATTTTACATAAATACATTCATTACCATTGATAATTTCTTAAAAGGCTGATAAACTGATCGGATCAGAATTGGACAAGATTGAGAAAATGTTCAAGAAATATGACGATAAGAAGTCCGAAATCAATATTTAATTAATTTCTCTACCGATGGATAAGGAACTTGTAGGATGGAATTTGTAAATTTGAATCGCCATTCGAACAATTGCTCGCATAACAACTTATTTGAATACAACTTTAGCACCATCGCATGAATCTGCGCGTGTATTAACTGACGAATAAATATATACCACCAAAGAGTTATTGTTCGATTTTCTTAATGTGGTGCTGCCTATGGTGAATTAAGCTGGTAGTTTTTTCCCTCAATAGATTCATGTAATACTCAATCTCCTAAGCCTAAAGATGTGTTATTTGGTAACGGAAATCCCGGTATTTTTGATATACAGTAAGTAACTTGGATAGACCGAGTGGTTATCATTATGTACCTATTACTGAATGCACACTGTAGTTTGATATTTTTAGGAATGTGGTGCTGATATAATGAATTAAGCTAGTAGTTTTGCACAAGATTCATATAGTACTCAATCTCTCGAGAAGGAAAATGTTTAATTTGGTGATGTGAGTCTTTGAAATGTGGTAGCATGTTGTATGTTTGCAGTGTACTAGCTAAGTGTTAAAATGCGATTAATAACGTCATCGCTCTTTTTTTTACAAATATAAAGAAACAGAAAAACATTTAAAAAAAAACGAAAAATTAAGTTAACAAACATGGGTCGAAGTTTGAAATGACCTGACAACTATTTAATTTAATTTCTCTAAAATGTCCAAAGTTTAAATTTGAGAAAACTAGTGAACCAATGAAATTCATGAATACTGGAGGAAAGGAATTTTACGATCGTTCTCAAAAGGTCTAGAAAAATGACGCGTTTCATTTTGGCACTCATATGTTTCTTCCTCGCGTCGATGGATGTCTCGCTCAGTCAGCTGTCCAAACGTGGAAGAACCGAACAAAATTCAGCGGACAAGTCCTGCAAGCATCACAGTCACGACATGGAAAAGAATCATTCCATCAAGTTTGTATTCTCATGGAACGAACATCCGACAGAAAACTTGAAAATTTTCAGACCGGAGAATAAGAATAAACGTTTAGGTACCGGCACCGATGGCCATCATTTTTATGCCTCGTTCAACAAGGTTGATTTGCACGCAACAGGTCCCGGCAGATTATCCGGAGAAGTTTTCAGAATCACCTTCACCTTGCTCTCGGCATTGATCTTGATCACCATACTGCTGACCATCAACTTGATGGTCATCATGCTCTGCATCGCGGCCATCACGTCGACATCAACCGCACCGGCGCACGCTCAGCCGCAACCAACAATGTAACAAATTAATGAAAATTTATTAAAAATTTATGTTACACTTGAAGCAACGAACAATTTATTGAACAATGACATCGAAACTTCGATAAAATGAAAACGAGTTTTACGCGTAATTAATTTAAAGCACTCAAAAGAACTTTATAAAGCACAAGAAATCGAGTAAATAGCACAAACAAAAATGTAAAAAAAAATGTGACGGAACTCAATTTCCTAAGTTTATGAAATCAGAAAATGATAATTCTTGCAAGGAGTCAATCGAAGCGCCAACAACGTTCTGCGAATTTGGCAATGAAACATTCAAGTTTGTAGCAACATTCTCGTTTTCAGTTGAATTTGCTAATTTATTACCAGGTAGTGAGTTGATTAGAATGTACATGGGGAAAGCTAACGAGGAATTTGAAGTTCCGTCGACACAACTCCTGTCAAAGTTAACTTCAGTTATTTGCCTGCTAGTAAGCAACTGTGGTGCTGCATTAGTCTTCAGGCTTGCTGGTTCGTGCGGGAACCCAGCATCACTCGTGGATGGCGTGTTGGTTAATAAGTGAGCCAACACGTTAGAACTTCTTGAAGCTGTCGAACTGTTAGCGTTGGAAATCGCTTCTGGCATTTTAGCATTACCACTATTGCTAGGAGCGTGGTGAATTTTATCGTGTACAATTAAATCAAGTAGTCGACCGAATACTGTATTACACAACTCGCATCTTATCGGTTCGTCGGTATTTAAATACAATAGGCTAGATTTGTCAACCTCTTTGACAGATGTACATGGTTTGAGATTTGTATCGGAAATTGTTTCTGAAAGAATTGGTTGATTGACAGCTGTAGTCGTAGACGCCAATTTATGCAGACGTTTATGAAGACGCAAGCTGCCTGAATAGACAAATCGTTTGTCGCAGTAAGGGCAAGGGAATGATTTGTAGCCCTCATGAGTTCCTCTCACGTGCTCCTTCATGTTATGTAGCCTTGTAAAAACCTTCCCACAGATGGGGCACGTGTTACCACCCTGATGAAGTCGCTTGTGGTCCGCTACCTCTCGACCTGTGCTCATTTCTTTACCGCACTCAGCGCAACTGTACGGCTTCACAGTCCCATGCAGAGATCGTCGATGCTTCGTCAAATCACTGGCGAATGTGAAGCGTTTGCCGCAGCGATCGCACTGAAAAGGACGTTCGCCACTGTGCAGTCGTTTGTGCTCGCATACCGCGTAACGCCGACTGAATGTTTTGCCGCAAATGTCGCAAGCGTATCGCTTGGAGTTTGAATGCTCACGTTTGTGATCTGTGAGGTTCGAGCTGCAAGTGAATGATTCACTGCAGATGTTGCAAACAAATGAGTTGTCAGCAACTTGCAGGCTAGATTCGACATTTGAACTGCTTGTAGGTGACGTAATTTGTTTATTTGAGGAAGAAGCATTCAGCCTTTTTGACTGAATTTCACTTGAATGTTTCTTTGATGTACCGGCAACTTGCTTTGAAATTGTATTTTTGGGTAGTTTTCCTGAGAAGTGAGAAGAGTTATTTGGAATTTGCACTACATAATCTCTCATTTGGACAACCTTCTTAGATTCGGATGGAGGGCTTTGAAGGAGTGATTCCAATTGGCCACCAGGTTTACTACTTGTCAAATCGGCCAATGAAATAGTCAAAAAACTATTTGAAGACTTTGATGACTTGTCAGATTTTTTTACAAATTTTTTCTGAGAAACCTGTTGAATTATGTCATCAAGAGGACTTTTTGGAGAGTTGTTGCAACTAAAACCGCTGCCAGCACTGCTTATTTTAGACTGAATGTTTGACTTTTTGTTAGTAAGGAAACTTTTGAGTTGAGTTTTGCTTGCACTGTTAGTGGAGAGTAATTGAGAAAATTGTCCATTGCTGCTGATAACATTAACATGTATGATGCCAGTAGCATCAGAGCCACCAACACATGAGTTGATGTTATTGATATTATAGTTAGGTGTTTCAATGTTGTTTAAAGCTGTCTGAGTAGCACTATTAAGTGCTCCACAGTGGTTTTCTTGTGTGTTTGTATAATTATGATCACTAGAGGTGAATGGAACATCATTTAAGAAAAAATCTGGTAGGTCTTTAACTATTATATTTGACCTGCAAACATTTGATAGATTATATCAATGAAAATTTTAGTCATACAATAAATGAATGATTGAATGAATGAACAAAGTAGCAATGAAATGAAATACTTTTTCACACTATCAGCAAATGCAGCTGTCATGTTCTCAATAAATCCAATATCCTCAATTCCCAGTTTTTGTGTGGCTTTCATTAATTCTGAATAACTTAACAAATCTGTCGAACCTTCAACCTTACTTTGTTTCTTTCGACTGTAATTACTGCGAGTGTTACTATTGCTATTACTACTAATACTACTAGCAGGTAGGATTTCAAAAGCACCAGTGTAAATATACTGCAGTACGTATTCTATGCAAGAGATAGAGCAGTCGTCGGCCAGTAACTCAAACGAATTGTTAAATGTCCGGTTCTGCTGAAGATCGTACTTTTCAAAAACTGATTTTAACTTCGGGGAAACCGTGGAAAGAATTAGGCTGTGGGCAGTCAGGCGTTTGCTACCAATGCTAATGCGCACATCGCAGAGGTAATTTTTTTTGCAGTAATCGTGCAAGGCGGTGGAAAATTGCTTTAAATAATTGCTTTGTACGTCCATTTTTTTCATAAATTAAAGTTTATTAAATGAAAAAAGCGATCTGATAAAGACAAGACCACGAAATTTTTAATGTTTACAATTAAAAGTGAATCTAGTTACTTTTTAAATAGCTAACAAGGCGCTGCATATTACAGAGACAAAATGAATTATTACTACTCTAAATGCTTAAAAGGTTGAAAATAAATAAAAAATTTTAAATAAATATAAAATGTATAATGTAAATTTTTTAAAAAATTACTCGAAAATTGTAATAAAAAGTAATATTTTGTTGCATTTAAATTCCATCACCTGGATTTTACAGTTAAAAAAAGAGAATTTAAATTAAAAAAACTAAAAGTGAACGCCAATGTATCTCTGACGTATGATTGAATATGAAATGGAGTCGAATTTGAAAAAACCACTTTAATTTATGAAAATTAAAAAAATTGAAATAAAAATATGATTAGAAGAACGAAGAGAATGTTAGTATTAGCGATCGTCCTGTTTTATGCAATCCTAATTTGCTCATTTTGCATTGTGAAATACTTCCTCTCAAATCCAAATGCACTGACCAGAGGTTGTTTGATTTTTTAATAATTTTTAATTTCATTTAACTTTTAACACATTTATTTATTTATATTTTATTTATCTTTTAATTTTTTTAACTTCAAATTTTAAAGATTTTTGAGTTTTTTATTATTATTATTACTCAGGTAAATTAAGACTTACACTGTCTTAATTCTTCTTTTCTATTAATAATAATAATAAAAGACTCAGAGATCTTTAAACTATTAATAATAGTTTAATATTAATTAATTTGTGTGGGATTTGGATTTGTTAATTGTTGTTAGTTTTGTGGAGGTCGATGGTCGCCAATGTCCTGAAAGGATAAGGCACAAGAAAGAAAAAGATTGTTATTAATGTTAATTAATGTAAACAGTTAACAATGTTAACTATTAAAAAAAATTTAATCATATATACCAATGATAAAATATTAACCACTGAATCATTCTAACTTTTTAATACAAAAATAAAGTAAAATAAACTTATTTTCACTATTTTAGTTGGCAAGAATTTTTTTTCTCGGTAAAATTAGTCATTTAATTAAATTTAATATCTTTAAATAT